TCGATGACGTAGTATAAAGGCACGAAGAAGTTGACTGAGAGACTTGGTCAGGCTGATGGTGTCGTCTGCGCGAATGGGGTTCCCGAAATAATCAACACCAGTGACTGGGGACTCTATCAGACATGGTGCAGTTGTGCAATCAGTGGTGTACTTGCATTCAGCTACTAATTGTCATTCCGTCCCGATTAGTTTAATGCACGTCCTTGATCCAATTTTAGAATTATATTTACATTCAACCTCATTTTCTTCTCGTTGTTAGTTATGGTAACTCTGGTGACGTGAGTCATCGCAACTGGATCCACCGCCCTTCGGTGCCCGGATCACAGTTGGCTAACTGAACTGTCCTGAACTGAACTGTCATATCACATGAAGCAATTGAATAGTGCAGTGGAACAAATAATCGATTACGGGTAAATTGGCAAACGCTTAGCAAGTCCAATGTATGAAAATAGTTAAACCCAAAAGGCAAATGTGTCGAAAAGATTACGCCTATCGGTAGATACATTGTAGATTTCAAGTGAGCATATGGTTTCGTTGAGTTATGCCATGTCATGCCTTAATAAGTTGAGTTATGTCATATAAAGCAGATGGAGCAGTGCATCATCGAAGGGCATTTTAATCCGGTTAAGGACAGTTGACGCCACCCGACACAGATTTAATTCAAACGAAAGGCAAACTCAAAGGAGAGAGCAAGTGCGAGATTGAGCAAACTTGCTCCGACTCCGGTAACGTTAATTTTGCTAACCAGGGTAACTCTCTCGTATACGTTCAATGAACTGTGTGCGGGTTCACCCAGCGCGACAAGACAAAGTCTTAGTTTGATCACAGCGGTGAGAGAAGGCAGTAAGAATGAGAGGACGCGTGCCATATTTTGCGGAGGACACCAGGGAGTTACGACAAGTACTCCCCCGCGTCAAATGTTTCTCAGGTAGTGGCCCCATGGTTGATGATGATGCTGACAAAAACCGAACTTCATTGCACCCTGAACACAAATAGGTGGAACGGCAAAAAGGCAACTGTAAACAGAAACTGGAGAAATTTGAAGGTTTGCAAAGAATAACGATCGCTCATGGTGCATTACATATCGCAGTCCATGCGGAGTCCACTGTATAATAGTAACAACGCCAATCCCACAAAGAAATAATTGAAGCAAATGTAGTAATACAGCGTTCTTCGAGTGCCGTCGAAACTGCTTTTTTGAGTCACTTATTCTTTGTAAGTTTTAATCCTCCGGTTGTTTCTGTCACCGAAGGGACCTAGCTATATAAGTTGCGGATTGGAAAAGCAAAGTGACCGGTATTTCGGGACCCTGATAGTTCGGGTTGACGATTCAGTTGCTCATTTGTTCGCCGAGCTTGGAAATTTGCTTTTAAACGTTTCACCGCCATGCTAGCTGGCATCGTCAGTGCGCTGATACGCAGAGTGTAATGACGCTGAGTGACTCGTCGATGCGTGACCGATGTGCAGTTAACTTCTAGAATCGACGGTTTCGATCTGTGCACCGTGATCTCTACCCATTTTCCCAGAAATTGAAATCATCGCTCGAGTTGTTTTTGTTCAAATAGCGACTTGAAATTCCCCCAAGTTCTTTCCATCGGAGTGGCTGCTGTACTGAGTCGATGTCGATACGCATGTTGATTGTGTCCTTCGTTGAGAACCAGGCTTCCAAGAACTGGAAGCAATACTACACTCTGCATATCAACGCACTGACGATGCCACCTCGCATGGTGGTGAAACTTTTGCAAACAAAATTTCAAGCTTGACGAACAAAGCAGTAAGTGAAAATTACGGGTTGTTTGTGGTATACACGGCTACAAGCCTGATGCGATCTACCAGTACCGTGGTTAGATGGATCGATGAGAACGAAACACGCGAATTGGTGTGAACAAGTGATTAAGCATCGACAGCACACTTGACGCTGGACGTTACGCAGAATGCTGTTTGCGATACACTTCGAACAATTAGTGGTTGGGTAAGGCATTTGCATCCTTAATGGCAATGAAACTGGCAATGTGTATGTAAACGGACAAAACAGGTTAGGCGAAATCAAAGTTAGAACCTAAGTTATCTCCCATTTTGGCCGCTTAAAACGTTGCGCATCAATGCCCTACTTGTTTGAACTCCCAAGCTCGAACTTGAAATTGGACGCGGAATTTCGTGGCTATAGATACCTCAACACTAGGCAAAACAGCAAAGCAAGTGGCGCTTACTAGAGCTACTGGCATACCACGAATTGCATTTTGGAGCACGTTATATGTGTTTGGCTTGCGACACACAAGCACAGATTGGAATCAAGAGTTACTTTAGAGTAAACTTCGGCCATTCAGATCACAGAGATGTTTTCAGTTATGCGTTTCGGACATCGCACCAAAGACAAGTGTCGTCTTTCCTTGTAGAATTTAGGCAGAGCTATTCGAAGCCGGAAGTAAAAGTCGGGACGCAGTGTCTGGCAGTGGAAACCTTACTCCCTAGACATCACTACTGCCTGCGAATAACACTCAGTAAAGCAGTTAGGGATTCGTTGTACGGTTTGACATAAGTACTACTTGTTTAAACTGCAGAAAAGAACCGTCTTTGGATCAGAAATTAATTCGAAAAGACGTTCGGTCATTTCGAACACTAAGACCGTATTCGAAATGCAAATATTACAGAAGTTGCATACTAGCAACATTGTAGCCCATGAGCAGATCTGCACTCCACTAAACGCTCAACCGTACATGTATCCGGAGTTAGGAACCGATGGTGGGACGCCGTGATCTGTGGTAGACACTTTCACCGAGTTAACGTCTACCACAGCGACTGTGGATTGTGGGGTTGGGTATTTTAATACATCCCGCATGTTGTGGTTGCGATACACACGCTATTCAGAACAATGAATTAAGTTGTCAATTCAAGGAAAACCATCGTGATCATAATAAAGCATGCTAAAGGTGTGTAGAGCGAGTGTGCGACCCCAAAAAGAGCCAAAATTAGGACTTAGAAGCACATGTGTTTGGCTCTGTATTATGGAGTATTTAAGAGATTTGATTCCATGTATCAAGACAGCTCACAGTCACCCGGTCACTGGATTTCAGTTTCACAAAAAACGAAATCATGGAATTCGAGCAGACAGTTTGATGCAACAAGGATGAAGTAAGCATAATAGATGAAAAACTGTTCGTCAACGAGGAGGCGAAAACACGTAAACAGTGAAACATCGACAAGTGAGGAAGAGCCATGATTGAGATGGCGCAGCCAAGGTTGACGATTCGACGAGATGAATAGGAGTGGTGTGGTGACACAGTAGAGCGAGTTTATCGCTTATAAGTGAAGTGACACCGGATGATATGTGGGTTTGCTAAGAATTCATAAAGTATAAATCACGCTTCAATGTAGCGGAAGAGACGAGAGTATGTGAAGCATCTCAAGGTAGTGGAGGAAAATACATCAAACTGGGGTTTTAGCTCCATGTTGGCAACTTTAAAAATGCAAACAATATGTCTATGTTTGGTGTGGAAATGTTCGCTTTCCTCCTTTGACGGACACTAACAATTGCTGCTGCAGAAAGTGGTCCAAACGGTTGGCATTTAACTTAGCCATTCCGCCACAAGGCACAGTCTAGTGTGGTGAGGTGTTTTCCAGTTGCATTACAACCAAATGGTTTCAATTGTCGACAGTCACCAAGCATTGTGAACCCACCTGCCCCAGCCATGACTAACTCAACCGTATTGCAGAAATAAGTGCAGCGAAAATAAACAATGTAACGGTATGTGAACAACTGTTCACCCCGAAACAGGACGCACTAACGCTTGTCTACATTAGGCTAGAGATTACGACCTGCGTCGCTCACGTAGGCTTCAGAGCAAGTGGAGCATTTGCTGTGCCAATGTGTAGAGATTGGTGGCGACTAGCGAAAATACGTGTGTGCGCCAAAGTTTGTTCCAGAGTAATTGCGCCTTCTAGCTGACCGATGGTCGACAAAGCGGAATTTTTTAGTAAAATGGTGTCTATCGCGCAAAAAAGACGAGACGTTGAGCAAAGTAATAGAAACTAAGGCCATAATCGGCATTATAACCGAACAGAGCATTGGTCCGATAATTGAGGTTCGGCTGGTCTCCATGCTACAGGTAGCGCGTGCAACCACCGTTCCGAGAGGCTTAACGTTATTACCCCACTTGACTCAAGAATCAGTGGTTATGTCGACTATATCTCATAGAAGCCCTGGCTACTATTCCGGATCCTTCCCTTAGCAGTGACATTTAACCCTTTTCGATGAATAAGTATGGTCAGGAGTGCTTTATCTGGTCACCTGCACAAAAGCACCAGAAAGTTAGCTCTAGATGGGGTCAATTGTCGGTCACGTCAGCGCTGGAAGACAAGGAATGGGACAGCCACAAGACGCCTGCGCCTACAGAGGAACCATAGGTGGCTTGCGCTACACTACCCAGTTCCATCCGTATACTCCATATCCAGTGTAAACCCGAAGCAATAAGGCATATGGATGGGAGCCACGTTTCATCAATGGAGCTGGCCCACACTAATTCAACATAAACGGCAGCAGCAGCAGTATTCCCGTCTATGTGGGGAATTCTGCGTACCAGACGTACACAAGGCGGTGGCTAGGCCGTACTCCGGTGCACACCGGATGGAACCACTCTTTGAGCCAGGCACGGCCACGATTCACGGTCTCCTGGATCCAGCAATCGAGGTGGAGGGTGTCAAACTGGTAGACACCTTGTCAACATTCACATCAAATGCAGCCGCACTGGTGATATCAAACAACCAACATGGAATTTGAAGGGAAGTAAACACGCAAAATCGACACGGAATATGTAGCAGAATAACAGAACTGAACAAATCAAAGAAAGTGGAATAATTTATCCAGGTTGAGAAGATCTAGTTTAAGTGTTATGCGGTGTAGAAGCATGCAACATTAACCTCAGCATGAGGTCTAATGATACATACACATACTAACACACACAAATATGCACGCAGCGAAGGAGAGAGTAATTCACACCTACCGGAGTCGGTCAAGTTTTCTGGACAAGGCTGGAAAGAAAATGAGACGAAACCAAGTGAACGCATCAGGCGGAAATGTCAAAGCTAAAACGCAATGGACACAAAATAAAACGCGACGTGATATGAGAACCAAAAGCAATAAGGCTGTTTCTGCCGCTGCGTGATAAAAAATGACTGCATAGTTGCGTAAACCAGGTGGCCTGAAATGAGGCGAGCAAGAGTCTGGTAGAAAGAAGCTCCAGACGGATGTCGACATAATGTTTATAGATGTCGTAAAAAATTTAGTCATTTGTGAAATCCAGATTGGTAGGGGGTTAACGGATGGTGCCGAGAGCACGAATCAAGAGTGTTATACATATCCAATTAGGATACGCAGAACATGTATGTTATCTTTCAGAAGTTTGCGGTGAAACAATGCATAATAGGCACTGTTTAGCTAAACTGGTTGAAAAGCCAGGTCGGGGAACGATAGTGCACCAGACCGCTGTCAAGGAGCAAGGTAACTATATAAACAGCTATTTCGAGTTTCGTTTGAGATTAGTTTGTGTGCATCAGATTGATGGGACTTTTCAAAATGGATCAGAAATATGGTTCAAATAAGATAGGATTCCGTCGTACTACCGACTCTGAAATGCTGCTCAGCGGAGCAAAAACACTGAGGAGAATTGATTACACACCTTGACACTAAAATCCAAAATGCACAAAATCCATACACCAATTGGTTGCGTGGACACTGTTGTTGAGATATCGGTCAACTTTTATTGAAGCGGGAATGCTAAAAAGCAGGCAACTAAGGAACCATCCACAGGGTGAGATAGGTAATGACAATTTGAAGCAGTACGCGTGGTAACCAACACACAATGATGTTCGAAGGGCCGAGTGGATCACACTGTTAGTGTCGATGCAACAAACCCATATTCGGAATACCCCTGCTACAGTGAACATCACCAGAACACTTGCTTCTGCAAAAGGACCATCCGTGGCTTGCGCAGCTGCTTGCTAGCGAACGACACACTGGGAGCTACACGGTTATACCGATGGTAGAAGCTTCAGGAAAGTTGTATTTACAACATACACTTAAAGGTTGTCACACATGAAGTCCTGCGCTAATTGCAAACTCGCAACGAAGTTAGACAATACAAGTATAGTCGTGCTTGTGATACTCAAAAACTTTGGGTTGCACAATGCGGTAAGCCAGAGCCGTTTATGTTTAATGCATGGGTTTTTAAAGTTCTTTGCACACACAAACCAGCCGGCATACAACAGACTGCAGTTGTATGGTAGTAAAACGGCAATGGTTATCGCACCGTCGATGGCATTCCTAATGCGAAGCCCATAGTCCCATCTAGAGTAGATGCACCTGGGCCGGACAGAGGCACGCGGTTAAGCAGTCCATCCGGACAACCATACGGATGGAACTCGTGTTACTGAGTCCAATGACAGTGTGCTCCAGCGTCATGATGAGGTCCGTGAATCATAAATGCAACGCACGTCCATTCTGAAAGCATCAACATCACAGGGATATAATACTCATTTGTATAAAACTGGGTACGTAGAGCATGCATGCCAAACGTGCGCCAAGATAGCGGCGAATAAGAATAATAAGAATACATATATTTCGCGATGTACATAATAACAAAAGGTAAAATGAAGAAAATAGGAGGCAAACAGGGAAGAAGAAAAATGTCGGATAGTTCAAGAAAAAGATATGGCGAGTCAAAACCGAGACTAATAACGTACACCGGAAATTTCTAAACATAGCACCCAAAGCGTGTTGGCAATGCATTTGATTATTATGAGCCTTAGTAGTATCCTTATGTACACATTGTGTTATTCATGAAAAGACATCAGTAGTACGCCGGTGCGCAATACCCACGTCTTGCTATTGCGCAACCACCACCGGTCGCATGTGGGCTAAGGATACTGTGAGGATCGTTCTGCTCCCACGCAGGCTCGAACCCGCGCTGGCAGATTACAAGACAAGCTTTTTACCATTAGGCTACCAGCCGGACGGCCACACGTATGATGTAAGTTAAGAAAACTGCTCGCTAATTTGAATACTTCGGTTGAACTGAATGTTAACAAAGCGTTATAAGGCGTCTTACCTGTTTCGACTCAGTCAGAACGAACGAAAGTTTTTCACAGATAGTACACGACTCGTGAAGAATAGCCACGAATTCGAAACGTAGTCGGCTAACGTGCCCTAGCTAAGATTGGAGAGGAAAAACGCGTAACCGAGCCGTACCGCACTGAGACCTGGACGAGAAAGACTGACCGGCACAAGAGTTGTCACACAGTGGTGGAGTCCGGAGAAAAACTCATTTGGTGTCAGTGTGGGTTTGTGCGGTAACTGCCGCGGTGTGCTCAGGGGAGTTCAGAGGGTTCACTGCAGCTTGAACAGTAGATGTATCAGTGTTCTGAGTAGAGCTTAGTTGATTCGCTGTGGAAAGCCATCAAAGTCCGGAGGAAGAATGGGTTGTTAGTTGCGCAGTCCAAGTCCCCGTATGGTGACTGTGTATTTGAGGTGAGCCTGGCGAAAACTGCGCAAATTTGGCGCAGCCACTTCGCGCGCGTAACTCATTTCACTTATCAGGGGAGATTATTGCGTGGAGAGAATCTAACAGAAAGTTTTAATGAATTCTGTGATTTGTGTTGTCACAACCGACTTTTCACACCATGATCCCCCTAAAATATTTTCTAACCCAGGGGCCCCCGGGAATTCCCTACGGCTCCCGTTGATAATGGCTGGTCAAGATTACAAGTGTGTTAAGCAGCAAAAAGTGAGGTACAGTCCGTGAGAATCAGTCAATCGTCATATATGGGATTAAAAAGAATGAGTGCGTGGGCATCTGAATGCGTTGAATCTTGTTTGTTTGCCGGTCTAACTACAACACTGCTGATTGCGTAGGAGCATAGAGGCATCCTTTAAAACGGAAACGTCTGTTTGCCTAGGCACATAATAGGTGTTCGGAGACTCATTGATTGTAAGAGTGGTATGAATATTGTTGACGCCAAGGAGCGCACAGTAAGTAAAACTGAGATGACCCGTGCTGACACACAAGTAAAAGGCTTCTGATTTCTGAAAGGCGGACAAAATCCTCGTATGTTCGATGGCGCAGACAGCTGGTTGAAAAGGTGCCTTGATCAAGTTCACCTGTCCATTCACTTAGACGATGTTGACCATCAATGTAAAGCAAGAAATGCGTAAATCATGAAGCGCAATCTGTGATTGAAGCGCTAAAATCCATCAGTGCTAAATCGCATTATAAATAGATGATCAAGAATGCAAACCGCAGGCTGTTGAGAGTAGATCCTGTATGACAATTCGCTTAATCACCCCGGTACAACACCCAGTTAGCAATCAAGCACGACCTACGAGGCACCAGCCCCAACTCGGGGTAACGTTTAACGCATGGAGTCGGCATGTCGAGGTCCATCTTGAAAATTAGAAGACAGCGCGCACCTCCCCAGTCTTTGGGCCCACAACATGTGTAATCAGCAGTATGCCTTGCACTGGGGTAAAGTGCAGAGGGAACGCAAGATTCTATCCGAGCTACAGAATCGTTCAACACTGGAGACGATTTGCCGTGTACAAAGTGATGCTGCACTTAGCACTGAAAATGATCAATAACAGTTGGTGATCCATCTATATTACGAATTCCCGACCCTACAACATATGGTGAAATCTTTTTACAACAAACGTTAAGGCCTTTCCCGACGTGTGAGTAATTCCTTTAAGATTTTGCTAGACCACTTGCTGCGCGGACAACCGGCCTTCAGGTGTTAAGAATAGTAGCACTGACAGAGAACTATACCAAGTAGAGGCATCTGTGCAGAGATTGTTACTTACTTTTGTATAATAATGTGCCAGCACTAAGAGGAAAGGGCTTTCATGATGAGTTTAAACGTTTCCTCACATTTAGGTAAGCAAAAGCAGGTACGGGTTTTCCTAGCGACTCATTCATTAGCCCACGAAGTTGATGCATATCAAGAGCAAATGCGCCGTTATAACTCACCATGCCCAAGAATGACTACAGGTTAGATATATCCTGTGGTGCAAGTAATTCCTCCATCAAGCGTTTTTCCTCGCTGGGACTTCATCCAGTATGATCGGCTGTAGAACCAAGATGTTTCAGTTGAGGCATACACAGCTTACACTTGTACACTCTCAGTGTGAGACGGTACTCACGTAGACGTTAGAATACCGGGGAAGAATGACGATGATGCGACGATGATGTCGTTCACGTACGAACAAAGCGATGGTCTGTCCGTCAGCATCATTTCCATCAGTTGTTGAAAGAGTCTCGGGGCAGCGTTCACTCAGAAAGAGAGTGAGTCTTAATAGTAAGAACACATTGTCGTCATCGATTAACACTAGATGTAAATCTGTGAGATCAGTCACTGAAAAATGCGGCTGAAGTTGAGTCTGAGGGAAGAATCCTCCGGTAATGGTAGTACGTACTGATGTAAGTTCAGTATTGCATATAGGCCTGTTGCAAAATCATCATATACACGAATGGACCGGTTGGGCTTTTTACTACTATTATGGGTGTTACCCAGTCAGAGCATTCCATGTAAAACATTAATCCGCATTGTTCCAGGCAATCCAATGCATCTCAACTAATTTGAGAGAAGCATGTAGCAATGGTCGTTAGGGGCAGAAGAAGGGTGTTGGGTTATCGATTAACTAAAGAGAGAAGAACTTGGCACAACAATCAAAAAGATGGGGTAGAACACCGTTGAGAACTGTTTTTGTATAATGTCTGCCAGTACAGAGTACTGCGTTGCATCGAATACGATGCGACGCCTTGAGGTACTAGGCTTTTCTGGGTTAGATCGCACGTAGATACGAGGGGAACACTCCACAAGTTCACCACGGTGAATCAAACTACGCCAGGGATATTTAATCCTCAGTTGTCCAAAACGGGGCAAATACCAGTGCGTTCAAAGTTTCTATATACATATTCACTATAAAAGTTCCAACGAATCTGCGAAATTATGTTCGACGCACTCCTCCTGGTATTTTCCACATTATATATCATCGGTTCATCGATAAGCAACCATGT